GATGTGATGCTCTCCGTCGTAAAATAATCATGAAAATTTTAACAATTCCGGTCATCATGTTGTTTTTTACTGCTACACAGGAAACACGTGGTAATCAATTTCTATTCGTATCAAGTCTACAGTGATGAGTCGTGTAAATTATGCGAGAATCTAAGCTTGTTTAGGGAATATACTTTTTTTTATCAACATTATTGTTCCTGTAATGTAAATAAAAAAAATTAAATTAAAAAAAATCACAAAAGGTATAAAAATATTATTTGTTTTTAAAGCCAATTATTTTGTATTTAGCATTATTTAATTATTAGTACTAATAAAACAAGTAAGACGCAACGACATCTACCTTGACTTTAAATATTGATCAGCAACGATTTTCTACAAAAATTATGCGAAGTTCACGAATTCCAACTATCATAATTCAGAAAATACTGAGAGATATAAGACCAGTTAAGGCTTGTTGAAAAGGAAAATTCCTCTACTTTTATCAGCTGTATTTTGTTTTCCCTATTTCAATACAGAAATACAAGTAAAGCTGAGCTTTGTTTAAATATTACGAATAAAAACGAGAAGAAAAAAAAAAACACATACGTGCAAGAAAATTATTGTTTTTACAAATTTTTTAAAGTAATAACAATAATTTTTACATATTTTAAAAGCAGAGAAAATATGCTTTTAAAATATTTCAAAGTTTCTTTACTAAGTTAATCAGGAAAAAAAAATGTCATTTGTCGGGAAAATCGTCAATTGCTTTGGAAAATTGCACCATTTTCAAAAAGTCATATACGTGTTCAAAACGTAAAATCTATTCGTTATCGACAAATAAGCTATAAAATGTTTACAGGGTTTAAAAGTAAAGAAAATTTCCTAAAAGATGATATATAGTTTATATACCTTTATGCTCTCATAAGAACGATACGGAGATCCTGTTTTCACGAAGTCGTGTTTTCAAATTGACCGGTGTGGGATTAAAGGGGTTAAAAGTATTTTCTTTCTTCTCCTTGATTTAGAACAACGACAGAGAGAGCGTATGCATGGATACAAACTCTACATCTCTAACAGTACAGATTTCAGTCTTTTACAAGAGGCTTACTTGTGTTACAATCATACAGGGCCGGATTTACCCGAACTTAACGTTACACATATATGTGTTACGTTTGGTCGATATGTAATTTTCTACAACGAAAGAGTTCCTGGTGTGTCGTATCCGGACAATCCGATGGTAACATACACACAGTTGTGTGAAGTAATTGTACAAGGTAATTCTATTTCTTTTGCAGACCACCTTGATCGATTGTACTTAAAATAGTCATATACCATTGATTTGATTCTTCAAAAAATAAATGGAATTTATATCTAAGAGATGATATCGACATTTCGAAAGATAAACGCATATGTTTCAAAGGTTGTGAAAGAGACGATGTTTATGGAAATCTCTGGAATGAAACCTGTCCTGCAAATTGCCAAGAGAGAAGGTGTTATATCACTGATGGTACTTGTGCTGGATGTACTGATGGCTGGATTGGGAAAAAGTGCCTAGAAAGTAAGTTTTTTGATGTATTCTCTTCCTTGTATTGTTAGTAATTTCATCCCAAAATTTCAGACGCAGCAGATTTATGAAAAGAAGTACAAGTCATAAAATCAGTGCTTAAAACACTGTTCTGCCCTGTATAAATGGTGAGTAAACATTGAGCCAAATTTCAAATAATGGGAAGAAAATGAAGAGCAATAAAGGTGCGGACCAACTTTAAACAAAATGAAGCTTAAAAAAATATCTTAATGTACAAAGGTTGTCTAAAAAAAAAAAAAGCATCAAACATTTTCAACCTTCTTTTTGTTTCACTAATATATTGGCATGACCGTAATCATCATATTTATGGAAAAAAAAACAAATACTTCATAGAAATTTTATAAAATATATCCATTAAAAACAACTTTTTTTCTCTTAGTGAAACGGATCTTACATTTTAGATGTCGCTTTTCAGTGCACCTGCAATCTTTCATACAATGCCAGAGAGCAATGTTGCAACCACTATGCAAATCCTATTGAATTAACGGCCACTGCTGAAGTAATTATTTCAATAGTGGATATTACTTCGATAGCGGTTTTATACATGCAACCACTATTGGAATAACAACCTCTAATGTTCTAACGCTTATACTTAAATTAGCTTTCCCGAATGGTTAATTTGAATGTATTGACGAATAAAAACGTTGCATTTACTATCCATATCTGTAGTATAGGCAAGCAAATGAATATGATTTCTTCTCTTTAATTTAGATATTCTAATTTCTACAACTATCTGTATTTATGATATTTTACTTTCTCATATTAATAGCAAAAATGTACCTTATATAACAAAATTACTTAAAATTACTAGATCAGTTAAATCACAGATATCCGTTTATTAATTCATATAGTATTTCTAGACAGAAATTAAAACATAAAATTACATATCACATTTTTAATTCAATATATTAATTGATTATGTTGTAAAAACATAATGAAGAACTTATCCTTTTTCTAATAATGGGGGTATTTCAACAAGGCTTGCAATGGGGTTTTGGTATTGAAATCAGTGTCAGCAACTATTAAAATTAAAATAACTATTAAAATCATTATTTCAATTACTATTAAAATCATTATAATTTAAATCACTTTGAAATCATTATTTTAATCACTATTGATTAATTTATTATATGTTATTTAACGTCCAATTCGAGAATTTTTCACTCATATAGAGACGTCACCATATACCGGTGAAGGGCTTCAAATTTAGACCTTTACTGGGCACTCAGGGCCATTGAGCAGTGAAGGATTTTTATCGTGCCAACGCCTGCCGTGACATGGGGCCTCGGTTTTTAAGGTTTCATCCGAAGGACTCGAAACTTTCACTTCAACGTACCATGCGCTTGGCGAAGAAACAGTTGCTACCTATTTTTTTTTTATCGACTTAGGTTAGTCGCGGCCTAGATTCGAACTCACGACCTTCCGATCACGTAGCGAGCGCTCTACCGACTGAATTACCATGATGGTCAATCACTATTGAAATCTTTATTTCAAAAGTGAACATTATTTCAAAAGTGGTTGCAACCAAGTTTAGGTATTTTATTGCATTCAAAACCTCTGTTGAAATCATTGTTTCGAAAATGAACGTTACTTCAATAATGGCTGCAATCTGTGTTTGGTTTTGAAATGCACTCTTAACCACTATTGAAATAAGCATTTCAATAGTGGTTGCAACAGAGCAAGCTTAATATTTTAATCGGCCACAATGGATAAAGCCAGTATTTTACATCTGAAAAATACTATATCGATGAATATTTGATGCATTTCAATTGTTCAAAATAGCTTCAACATATTGACGATTTTAAAATAAATTTTCATTAAAAATCATGCTTTTCATTGTGTAATATATCAATCCTTTCGATTATCTCCAAGAACTATTTCTGTCAGTGACGGTATTTTCCAATGATGATTACTGAGAAAAGAATATTAAAGTGCTTAAGCCCAGAGAGAGTTCGACCTGAGAGATTACATATAGTACTTTGTTATATTAGAAAATAGTTTTTGGTATTTGCTTTTCTGCAGTGTTTTTAATTTTGCCCCAAAATATGAAAAGAACCCTAACGGTTATAGAAAATTGAGTTCGCGATCAGTCCTAAAACCCTTGTCTGCCCTAAATGTACGACGAGTTAACAGTGAGGGAACACACTTAACATAAAGATAAAGAAGGAGGAAACACTAAGCACAAACGGGATTAAGAAAACAAGGAAAGTAAAAAGAGAGCCAAATGTGAATGAGCAGAAAGTCACGGCCATAAAAGGCCGACAGGTATATACTAAGAGACAAATAATTATATATGTATATCTTTGATAATTATAATTTTGATTGAAGATGTTGATTATAATCCGTTTCCAGACAAGGCAAGCCTATATCAATGGAAAAAATAACATGTTTAGAATCCTTAGTACACTGGAATTTCTATATTTCCTGTGTGGTTCGTGGCATCGTTATCAACACATTGCAGATAAATAATTCAAATGGCTAGGGACATATATAATTTTAATTAAAATTTTTATTATGATAAGAAGTTGATTCACAACTTTATTCCTCTCTGCTTTTGAAAAGCATTATACAAGACATGAGAGATTATCGATTTAATGATTTCAACCTTTATAAGCTTTGATGGATTCAATGTGATACATGTACATTAGAAGATTGGCAATTTTATGAAAAAGGTAAATAAAGCTATTGATTGTATGTTGTTAAACGTTCCATTTTAGAATTCTTACTCATGTAGAGACGCCACATATGTTGTCCTACATGATTGTATGAATGGCGCCTACTTACGGCGAGATCAGGGAGGGTTCAATATTATGTCAACACCAACTGTGATGCGATGCGGGACCTATGTTTTTAAGTCACATCAAAACGACAATTATTTTTACTTCTAATGCCGAGAGCTTGAAGAAGGAACAGTTTACCTGTGTTAAACGACTTTTTCTTTCATGTTTTTCGCGCGTGCTCAGCCAATGGTCTACCGAGACCGGTTGAAATTTTGACTACTCCATATTAGTTCATTTTTTGTAAGAAAAAAAAATAGCGACAGAAGTAATTAAAAACAGAAACACACTGAATGGCAAAACCTTTTCTTCCAAAATGTCATCGATTTAAGATTCATTTTTGCTAACCATAGATACGTTTAGACACCGATATTAGAAAAAAAAGTCATCTCAGATAAAAGGCAATGTTCTGCAATCTCATTTTTAAAGTTTGAAATAAAACCAAATTATAGAATCGATGATTTTGGGTAATATGGGTTTCGGAGTCCGGCTAAGAGAACTATAAAGGATGATTTTGTGACAGGAATATGAATCTATGTTTATAGTGAAACATCAGAATATTTGAAATTTTCAGAAGAGCTGTATGATATTTAGAAAAAAAAATGAAAGTAAGTTTACACAATCAATGTCTCTTTAAGCTTGTCCATCTGGATATTATGGATCTGAATGCAATGGAACATGTTCAGTCGGATGCAGAAATAATTCTTGTAATCACGTGACTGGTCATTGTGAGGGATGCCGTGCGGGATGGATGGGATATGATTGCAATGAAAGTAAGATAATCTTACACAGACCAGGATGATTGGGTAGGATTTGGAATTTTGAGAGATGAAAATCAATATTATTGACCCTCAATGTAATGTTGGAATTCAGTGGTATACTCTACTTTTGATGTATAGAGGTTAAATTTTAATATCTTGTTTAAAGGGAGGAAGTAAGTTCAATTAAGGAATGTTTTTAAGTTTTGTGTGAGTTATTGGTGTGTAAATCACAAAGAGTTGTCACGTAGGCATATTTCATGAAGCGCGCTTCATGAAAAATATGCCTACATGCAAGTCTGTGTGATTTACACACCAATAATTCACACTAAACTTAAAAACATTCCTTATATTTACATTTTACAAGTTTAAAAGCACCAATAATATACTCAATATTAGAATTCCTTGATGCCCTATATCGTTACATTTTTATTAACGTCTCTGTAGCCTCATTGTGACGTCATTTTAGCGCGAGGTTCACTGTGTATATTTCTACGCGTGAGTATACACAAAAATGACTTTCAAATCAATTTCACAGTTGACGTAGTAGAATAACACAGCAAATGTAAATATTCTTATTTAGTTACTTCAATTAACTATATCAATTTGACGTCATATTTTTTGCATAAATAACCAAATAGTTAATGTTCGTTGGTTTGATTAAAATGACATTTTTTTCAAATAACTTCTACTCTTAATCTAATTAACTGGAAAAAAAATCAATTTTAAAAGCAGATTTAATATAAGAATTATGTCATGTATCTCATTTATGTTTGTTAAATCAAATACATGCATAGAAATATCACAGATAAGTATAAAAAAAACTATGTGGTTTTTATTTTTTAAAGTTTAATATTACAGATAATCATCCTGAAATTTTGAAAATGAGGTTTTATTTAAAACATATGCAATACTGTTGGAGAAAATTGGGAAAAGATGAGAGAAATCTTTTGTTTAACAGCATGCAATTATGGGACGTACGGAGAAAATTGTCGAAAGAACTGTAGTGGAAACTGTGCAAAACAGGATTGCAACAAAGAAAGCGGGAATTGCAATGTCGGATGTGCCCCTGGTTATAAAGGCTCTAAATGTGAAAAAGGTTATAAACACATTTTGTTGATAGACATCATTTTCATGTCACAGTTGATTTTTATCCTATTTTTTTTTATTACAAAACAACGTGCTCATACCGGAAAGATATTCCTTACTTAGGTCAATGAATGGTTAGAAAAAGGACCGTGCAATTAAACGTGGAAATCCTTCGAAAAAGTTTATTTAAATCTGATGATTTCAAGTCGACATTTAGATACATCGATGATGTGTTATCAATTAACAATAGTTACTTCCATACATATAAGCATATGTTGACAATATATCCCAGTGAACTTTAAATAAAAAAAACCCACACATTTTGTTTAATATTAAATTTTGTACTAGAAAAATACGTTAATGGTAACATAACACTTTCTGATAACCATGATGACTTCAGCTTTTCTATCGTCAACCCCTTACTTGTGTATGAATATACCCTTATCACCTGCATATGGGGTTTATGTCTCCCATTTGTTTCGTTACTCAAGAGCATGCTCCACTTATGAACATTTTTTTCTAAAACTTACTAGTTTTCATAATTTTTTTTTCATTTTGCAGAATGTGATTTTGGTACATATGGTGCAAATTGTGTTAAACTATGCAGTGGAAATTGCCATAAAAATAAAACCTGTGATAATGTTAATGGAGAATGTCTGGAGGGATGTAGAGAAGGTTTTAAAGGAAATTTGTGCAATGAAAGTAAGTATAGTTAGTAAAACTCTGTAATGTTGTGCTTCTTGTAAATAATGCATTGTTGTCAAGGCAGATAAACAACTTTACTTTCTCCCCATTAAAAGCACACCCACACCCACACCCACCCCACACCCCACAGCCACACCCCCACCCCCACAGCCACACACACACACACACACACACACACACACACACCCCACAGCCACACACACACACACACACACACACACACACACACACACACATATATATATATATATATATATATATATATATATATATATATATATATATATATATATATATATATATATATATATATATATATATATATATATATATATATATATATGACTACAACGTAGTCATAAATTGATATCAAGAATATTTAACTGAATTTTGCTAGACGGATCAGAACAGTGATAGACTTTGTTATTAGGGTTCTTCACATTTTTTTGATTTAAACATGAAGGAAGCTGCTTGAAAGCGAAATGCGAAAGCACAAACAGTGTTCAAGCTTCTACATTTCCTTTTTCAAGGACCGATTTCACAGGTTATATGCAGTAATGATGGCAATAATGTTGCCAGACATTAAAAACAAATGATACATAAAATGCTGTATCTTAGTGTAGGCTACAAGTGTATCAAACCATGGGTCAGATTGATAAAATTTCACAAAAACGCTATTTCTAGTACCATTGCAACACAGTTCGTCAAAATGAAAAGTTTAACAGACCTATAGAAGTCTACACCTGTGCCGAGTTTTATTAAAATTACCGTAGGAGATTCAGATCAACTATCTTAGGATTATAAATCATAAGAAACGAGGAACATACATGAAAACTGTCAAATATTTAAAAATGAATATACAATCATGTTGGCCATTTTTCACAGTTTGTGATAGAAAGATATTTAGGTAGAATATGGCTTCATAATCGTTCTTTCAATGTAAAATATTTATATCTAACATATCAGAACATATTTTTTCAAAAATATTAAGGATATTTTTCATATATCTAAGGAAAAGGAAGTATCTTAATCCTTAAATGTTAAGTTTCATACTTTGTACATTTTATCCTATCTTTTATTTTCTTATCAAGCATGCGAATTTGGTACATTCGGACTAAACTGTTCAGAAGAATGCAGCAAACACTGTGTAAACAAATCATGTTATTATGTAACTGGCTTCTGCGATTATGGTTGCATGCCGGGATGGAGAAATGACAAATGCAACGAAAGTAATAAAGTCATAAAATTTCCCGATCATATATATATATATATATATATATATATATATATATATATATATATATATATATATATATATATATATATATATATATATATATTTATATATATATGACTCCAACGCAGTCATACATTGATATCAAGAATGAATTTTGCTAGACGGATCAGAATAGTGATATATATTTATATAATTTATATATATTTATCCATTTCTTTACTTATATTAGATTTTTTTTATAATTAAATAATTATGAAAAGAACAGCGTTGTAAATTGAATTTAAGTTTCTCACACAACTGGGCTATTTTTCAATGTTATCAAGAATGCGGTGATGGTACATTTGGTGTCATGTGTGAAGGATTCTGCAGTGGAAATTGTTTAAAGAATGAAACTTGTAACTATGTAGACGGACATTGTATGAATGGATGTCAGTCGGGATTTCAAGGCGAGAAATGTGACTACCGTAAGTTTTCTGCTTATTCAGAATGCATCGCTTAAGGGGGCCGACTAGGGTTTTCATTGCGCAATACTTCGCCAGCATAGTAAAATAAAGCGTATTTACTTTTTTTAAGCAACTATTTTTACATAATTTATAAAAATTAACAAATTTAGGAATTCTAAGGTTAAAAAATCTAATTACTTTTTGAATAATTGATTTTTAAAACGATTTTTCAAATGATGGGTAGATAGATGTCGTAATAGCGTGTTTTTGACGTTATGAGTAACCGAAGTTCTTTAAGCGGGGTCATTAATTATGTCATAAAATAAAAAGTATAAAATAGATGCTCTTGAAATTTTAAACACAGGAAATTGAGATTCTCAAAATCATTTTTATTATTTTTTATGTAAATCTGTTGTATCTGTCATGTTTTGCTGTACTCCATAAAAACAGGAAAATATCATGATTTTTGGCATTTTGAGATGCCCCCTCTGGAAACTAGACGGTAGAATTTTGTGTTTCTTGCTTAAGATGTACAATATAGTACTACCCATCAGATAATATAATTTGAGCAAAAAGTCTATAGTAGCATTTGTATAATTTGCTCCGAAGTGCAAAAAAATGGTATTTTCCTAAATAATCCTATAGTAAATGTACCTGTATTTTGAAATGGTCCCTAAAAAATAACCAGACGGTAGATGTTCACTAAACTTGGCATGTATACTGAAGTCAATTTAAGGTACATATGGTATAAAATCAAAGAGTTTCTCTGTAGTAGTTTTCACACAATAAAACCCCAGTCGGCTCTCTTAATATGAAGCATTTTATGTTTCAAAAAGGGACTATTTCATGATATATTCTAATGATTGCTTCTATACCTTTATTGATTGTTTTATCTATTTATTGTTGGGATTTCTAGCATGTGACTCGGGAAACTTTGGTGAAAATTGTTCGCAACTGTGTTCTCTAAATTGCTATAATGTATGCGATAAAGTAAATGGACTCTGCAAATGCAAAAAAGGATGGATGGGAATTCACTGTTCCGAAGGTATATCTAATTAAAATATTATGATTATTATTGCAGATTTGATTAATTTTCACGGCCTGATATGAGGTTTTTTTGACTGATAAATTGATTTCTTTCCATTTACCTCGGGTAGAGGTCACTTGTAAATATTCTGGCACAAAAAGTAAAGAAAAAGAAATTATAACGTAACATTAATTTAGACGCAAACATAACATATCTTGACCCACATATCAAAATTTGAGTTACAAAAAACCGTATCTTTAGAATCTCTTGGTCACTTTCTTCAGAATTTAACTGTTTAATTTCATTATGCAGACGTTCCCTTTAAAACATCTTTGCACATTCATTTAAAAGTATTTTAGAGAGAGAGAGAGAGAGAGAGAGAGAGAGAGAGAGAGAGAGCTGATACGACTATGCCTCTGAAGTAGATCCATTATCTATCGGTATCGTTACACTCGATTTTACATGAGTGCAGGTTTTTTTTGAGAGAGAGTATATATACAAAATTTTCAAAGAA